CTAAACCGTAAAGCCCAAAACCCCTAAACCCTAAACCCTAAACCCTAAAGCCCTAAAGCCCTAAACCCTAAGCCCGAAACTCTAAACCCTAAACCCTAAAGCCCTAAAGCCCTAAGCCCGAAAGCCCTAAGCCGCAAACTCAAACTGCGGAAGCAGACGAAGGGCTCCGATTCAAGTCTCCCCGTGCCCAGCTGATCCCTAAACATCCCCAAGCCCGAAACACTACAGCCCCAAAGACAACTAGGGTTTAGGGTTTAGGGTTTAGGGTTTAGGGTTTAGGGCTTAGGGTTTAGTAACTAACCCTATGTACATGGAGAACCGCTTCAGCATTTTGCCGCAAGCTACAAAAACCTCTTCTACTGTAAATCTTTTGGTAAGGTATCGTAGACTCAGGAGCTAAATATTCAGGGCTCAGAATTCTCCAGAAACTACAACAAAAGTAGGTTCTCATAGCTTAAGGTATCTAAACCCCCACAAAGAAGGGAGTGCACGCACACCACTTCCTTATCCTGAACCCTTCATGTAGGGGCCTAAGTAATTGCCAAAACTGTTTTGGGGGCTCCTTATTATGATCAGACTTCAATGGGCCCCAAAACCCTATTCGAATTAAGAAGCCCCCCTTATAGTAACCCTAGGCCCTCGGCTGCAGCCCTCCCGTCCTTTCCGCGCTTCCGACTGCTCTCCGAGGGCCTTGTTGAGCCTCGTGGCGAGAGGAGCAGCTCAGTCATCGCACGCAGGTTTCACGATGCAGTTCAGGATGCAGTTTAGAGTTTAAGGGTTTAGGGGTTTTGGGGTCTTGAGGTTTAGGGTTTAGGGGTTTAAGGGTTTAGGGGTTAGGGGTTTGGGGGCTTAAGGGTTTAGGGGTCTAGGGTTTAGTGGTTTAGGGTTTAGGGGTTTAAGGGTTTAGGGGTTTAGGGGTTTAGGGTCTGGGGGTCTGGGGTTTAGGGCTTAGGGGCTTCAGGGTTAGGGGTTTAGGGGTTTAGGGTCTGGGGGTCTCGGGTTTAGGGGATCAGGGGTTTAGGGCTTAGGGGCTTCAGGGTTAGGGGTTTAGGGGTTTAGGGTTTGGGGGGTGAGGGGTTTAGGGGTTTAGGGTCTAGGGTTTGGGGGTTGAGGGGTTTAGGGTTTAAAGCTTAGGCGTTCCTGGTGGAAGTTTGGAGTTTCGCTATTAGGATGCAGTTTTGGGGGATTCAGGGTTTAGGAGTTCTAGTATTATGATTATGACTGCTATGGCTATCACTGCTTACTGTTTGTAAAAGTATGATTGCTAGTGTTGCTCTTTGCTACTCCGGGGGGTTTAGGACCAGTTTAGGATTCAGGGATCGGCAAGGTGCTGATTAGCACCTAAACCCTAAACCCGAACCCTAAACGAGTTTCGGGTATTCACGGTCTTGGCCTTACGTCTTCGGGTTAAAAGGATGCAAAGTTTGTCTGGCGCTGTCCTTTTTTTTCGTGAGCTGGGTTTGTCTTACACAAGATATGCCTGCGACCTTAGAGGGCTCGAAGACCCCATGTTCCACCGGTTTTAGTTACAAACATCCAACATCCAGCCGAAGAAGCCAGGCAATCCGAGACCAGTCTTTCTCTGGAACAAGAGATAAAACAGGGACATGAATACTTAGTGTACTATAACTAGTCATATCAAGGAACCCTTAAGAAACAACAGTAGTAGTTGTAGTTTAGGTATGTAAGGCCCCCATACTACTCAACTTCTGCCCCCACAACACACGGACCGCCCATAAACCAGCCAACCGCCCATACTGGAAACCCGAAAGCCTAGACCCCCGCCAAAACTTCAGCCCCCAACCTAAATCGCAGCTTCTTATCTACTGTGCGAGGCAATTAGCCTTTATCCTTGTCACGCATCGTGTACTACAGCAAGAAATTCGCGTGCTCGTCTCTCAAAGCTCTTGAATCAGGTGGGGCTCAGTAGGGTTACTATACGTATATGTGTCTTCAGCACCACTTAAGATATTTAAGACAATTCAGCAAATAACTAATTGTACATCGCTTCATCGGTTACATCTGCTGAAAAACTTACTACAGTTCCTACAGGTACTTTTTGACGCTACTTACTAGCTCGTCACTCGAGAAAGAAAAAAAGGAGAGAGAGAGAGAGAGTCAGAGAGAGAAGGGGAGAGAGGGAGAAGGATAGAGAAAGCGTGTGTGCCGTGCCTGTCGAGCTGCTTCTGTCGCTCCGCGTCCGAGGATTTCAGTGCCTGCGTGGACGCCGGTTCAAGGTAGTCCAAAAGTCAATACTCGCCACTGCGATTCCTGTTGTTGGTTACCTTGCTTGCATTGTCTATCGGTCGGGTTGAAAGTTCAGGCCTAAGGTTTAAGCGCTGGGGCTGAACGCTTCAGGCCGGCGGCCGACGTGCATGGCACAGACTTTTGGGTTGAGAGTTTCGGGTCACTGGAATCGGGCTCCGGGACCCATCCACTTGCAAAGTTCCCTGGCCTACAGCAAGGTGAGCGTTTTTGTTCTGGTAGGGTTATATAAGAATATTAACAGTATATACACTAAACCCCAAGATACATAAGTACAGGTCATCAATCCCAAAAAGGTTGAGGCTTATACCTAAAACTCAGATCGCACGACACTTCAACGCCCAACATGCAGAGCGCCATGCTGCCTCCAGCTCCCGGCGCTCTTCGCCAAAACGCCGGTCGGTTAGCTCCTGGGAGCTTCCACGGAGGACATGTTTTTTGTATATGGCCTAGGGTTTTGGGTCATTTTGCGGTCTCTTATAGGGTCTAGTATACATGATTATATATATATATATATATGGTTTATTGGCTAGTTTTGGGTCTCTTGTCATGTTGGGTCTCTTATAGGGTTGAGGGCTTGGGGGCTTGGGTGGATGTGAAAGGTCAAGTTTCTGAACAAACGGAGGTGGGCCCAGACCGTCCTGAGATACAGTCGATTTGACTACGGGTAATTTGTCCAAGAATCCTAAACATCTAAACCCACAACACCAGAACCCCCAAACCATATTCCTCGGCTTCTAGATTAGTGCCCCTCAGTATAGCATGGCTTAGGGAACATGCCCTGGACCGCCTGGGCTGTGATTTGCCACTTTGAGTCCAGTTTGAACCCAGGGTCTCTTGGGTGCAGAACTTGACATTGCAGTGCTAGGAACCTGTTTGGGCGGCAGTTGTCGTAGGAACAGCCAACAGGTACCGGAATGTGGAGCAAGACCCCTAGATCCCCCAAGGGAATCTTTGAAACACATCCTGTGCATCGACCTTAAGCCCCTAAACCCCCAAACCACCCAGACTCTGAACCCCCCCAAAAACGTAACAAGCCCCACACCCATGCCCTGATGCCGAAGAGCCTTTTAATGGCTGAAGGACACAGAGTTGGTCGGTTAGCACATGTCCACATGCTTGTGGTCGTTGTGGTTGGGCCATGTGGAAAGGGCTGGTAACAAATGAATGTGGAGCCTTGTTGGCCCATGAAATGCTCTGTGCTTTTCCAAGTCGAACCCAGGATGTCTTGAGCGAGGGTTGTGTTAGTTGCGTTCCAGTTGCCTGACGTGAGTACGTCGGTGCCCGATCGAATCCGAAGGTGCTGCAGGAATCTTCATGGCCGAGCTGTCGTTCCAACATAGACGCACAAAGCAGAGGACGAAGAACAAGTCGACACGTTGCTCTCCATGTGCACGGTTCCACGAGGCGCACATGTGCCCGGCAGCACCGGCCCGGCCTATGCATGTCGTAACCGTGCGTTGCCAAGAAGCTTCGCCGAGCTTAGCACAGCGCAAAGCTCTTGTTGCTGCAGCCGGTATAGCACATGACGCAGTAGCGATGGAGAAGGCCCCTGACGCTCACAAGCCATCACAAACTCTTTTAAGTCCGGTGATAATCCCCAAACCCTAAACCCTAAACCCTATAATTCTTTGAAAAGCAACCTCGGACCCTAAAGCCCTCTAGGATCCTCAACAGCAGCCCCCAAAACCCTACGGAACCCTAAACCCTAAACCCCAAAGACCCTACGGAAACCTCGGTTCCACTGGCCTCGAGCGACTCATGCCGGCGTGCCAGGTTCAGCGCCTCCTGGGAATCTCGGAAGGCTTTGGGTTTAGGGTTTAGGGTTTAGGGTTTAGGGTTTAGGGTTTAGTAAGCCTGAGAAGGAGAAAAAGAGGCCCCCTTTAAGGTTCCTTTGAAGCGTTCCCTATCAGATGGATTGCTGTACAAGGCTTGACATTAAGGGCCTGCCTGGCCAGGGTTATGGGTTCAGGGTTTATGGCTCGGGCTTAAGATTTTGAGCTTGAGGCTTGGATGGGACTTTTCGCGAAACCCTAAACCCTAAACCCTAAACCCTAAACCCTAAACCCTAAACCCTAAACCCTAAACCCTAAACTTTAAATAAGATGACATCCTTCAGCCTTCTCGGATCCCCCTAAACCCCAACCCCCAA